TCCAAACAGCAATACTGATAAATTTTTGGACTACTTGAATTCCACAGTTGAAAAGATACACCAAGAGAATAAACTTTGCCTAATAATGGGAGACTTTAATATTGATTTATTGAAAATAGACTTACATGTAGATTCAGAGAATTTCATTAATAATTAATAGTTTTTATATTTTTCCTGTCACTTCCACTGAAATTGAAGAAGAAATCTCCAATTTGAATATTTCAAAGACAACAGGTCCTTTCAGCATACCAACCAGGTTACTAAAGTTACTTAAAAATGTTTTGGCAAAGCCTCTCTAGATCTTGTTTAATGTATCGTTTTCAGCTGGTATAGTACCAGACTTTCTTAAGTCAGCTAGTGTTATACCAGTTCATAAGAAAGGCTCACACCTTTCCCTCAACAATTATCGACCAATATCATTACTTTCTGTATTCAATCGACTCCTGGAAAAACTTATGTACAACAGGTTATTAAAATTCTTAGACAAGAATGAAATTCTTTTCAGCAAACAGTTTAATTCCGTGCAAAGCATTCAACTGATCATGCTATTCTTAGCATTGTTGATAAAATTCAAAAAGCAGTTGATGAGCATGACTTTTCCTGTGGAATCTTTCTGGATTTTAGTAAAGCCTTTGATACAGTTGACCACAGAATTTTAATTAGCATATTAGAACGCTATGGTGTAAGAGGAGTGGCTAAAAGCTGGTTCACATCTTATCTTAGTAATCGTAATCAAACTACTGTTGTTAATAATGTTACTTCAAACCCACTGGATATAACATGTGGAGTGCCTCAAGGATCTGTCCTTGGTCCTTTGCTTTTCCTACTCTATGTAAATGATTTTCACCTTTGCTCCAATCTCTTTGAATTCAATCTGTTTGCTGATGATGCTAACCTTTTTTATAGACATAGAGACATCAAAACATTAGAATCTCATATTAACTCAGAAATTAGTAATGTTCACATTTGGCTCTGTGCCAATAAATTATCACTCAACATAGAAAAATCCAACTTTGTTCTTTTCCATGCACCCCAAAGAAAAATCACACACCATTTCCATCTAACCATTAATAACAATTCTATTAAGCAAAGAAATTGCATTAAATATTTAGGAATTTACATTGACTCAAATCTAGGTTGGAAAYCACAAGTAGAATATATTGCCAAAAAAATCAAATGCAGTATTGGTCTATTATCAAAACTTCGTTACTATGTGAATTCAAGGATTTTGAATAATTTGTATTATGCTTTAATTTACCCTTTCTTAATTTATGGTATAATAGCATGGGGAAATACCTATCAAACTACATTTATAAAAACCTTTATATTTATTACAAAAGAAAGTTGTGCGTATTATTACATTTTCTTCATTTGATGAGCATTC